AGCAGTACTGTTTCTATGGTTGTAGTCTTCATCTCAGTGAAATAATGGGAGTAGTAGTTACCCCTACCTGTATTTCAAGTACCTTGTCTCTGCAGAGACACCCTTCAGGAGTAAGTGCACAAACTGGTGCCTCTGGAGAGCAGGTACCACAGTCATGCAAAACGGTCCATGTACCTTGATGTGCTTGACTCAAGGGAGCAAGCACCTGCTGCCACTCAACTTCTTTCAGTCCAAGAAGTCTGGGGAGTGCCATTCTGTGGGGACAAAACATTGAAGGAGTTACTCAGAATCATTATGCTTCCTATGCCTGAGCTTAGCTCTGTAAGAAGTGCTCCTCAGACTGTCATTTTCTGTCAAACAGGCATAACGGCAGGATGTCAAGTCAAAGGTGACACACTATGAACACATGTGTTTCCTATAGCAGTTTCACTCCCTTTATTGCCAGGCTACTTCTTAAAGAAGCAAGATGACTAGGTTAAAACAGTGGAGTTTTCTTCCTTTAATACTCAATAGCTCATGATAGATTAAAAAGTGTCAACAAACAGCCTAATCCAGAAAGCCTTTAAGGACATTCTACTCATACTTTTGGCCTTAGAAAGCTACAGACGTTGCAAGTAATTTCCCATTTTCTTATACAATATGCCCACAAAAGTTTTAACTCACACTTCAGCAAAGTCCCAAGGCCTTTACTTTCCTGTTTTTTCTTACAAACAACTTGACCTGGCACCTAGATGCCTGACAATATAGGTTCAACAAAACACAGGACACCAGAAGCCTGACCTGCAGAAAAGATGTTACAGTCATTAATAGCTGAACCAGAGGGGAAGCAGGTACCACATCCCAGGAGGTACTGCAGCATCAGCTTGTACCGCAGCCTTCAAAGTGGAGTCCTCTGGCAACAGGACTCCCCAGACACATCTGATTTACCGGGGAGAGAGGAGTTTGGGGACAGGCAGTAGGGGCAGGTGAGCTACTCAGTTCACAAACTCCACCAGAAGCAACCCCAAGGCCTACTTGTGAGAAATTCAATTGTAATATTGAGTAGCAGAGTGTCATGAATAATTTTAGTACTACTGCCCCTTGCCAGCTGAGGCACTAAACCTTCACTGTGGCACAAACTGCCCTTTGAAACAGACTGAACAACAGTTCCACTGATGAGCTTTTAACTGTTTCATAAGCTGCAATCTGCTTTTCTAGGATGATGGTGAAGTGGCAGAACATTTTCATTTGTAATTTAGTAGAATTCCTTGCCTTTAACAGATATGAAAATGACTGCTGCATGCTTAGTCCTGCCAGATGTCTTTGGAGACAATTCCAGCCTGTTTCCTGCAGTGAACGAGGAGGTAGGAGACAGAGCACCAGCAGTCTCAGATGCCTGGGCACATCACCTGGCCTTTTGGTAGCTCAGCTTAGTTCCTGGAAAAGGATGACATTAGCCTGCCTTTTGGGTAGAAGACAAATATTCATAGAGATACTAGCTAAATTCAAAGCAGTGTTATTAAGCTTACTTTTCTGATCTGTTCAACAAAGTGATGCTGTGACATAATTTGAAATATCCTTTTTTTTTTTTTTAATTTAGGTGAAGGCAGCAACACCAGTGTTGGAAGTAAAAAATCCTTTCAATGTGAATTCATGAGAGTTTGCACTGTACATAGAAAGAGAAGAGCTAGCCCAGCTTGATGACTGTGCCATGGCCTTGGCTGCACTGGTGGCTGCATTTCACGTGTTCAATATCCCATGCCCAAAAGAGAATCCACAGGACGCTCAGCTTCCTGGAATCCCTGGTCTTTGAGGTGAGGAGCCCAGCATCCCTGCCCACCCAGGTAAAGGGAGGGCTGAAGGCCCCCGAGTCTCACAGTATCTGACATTGTACACAACACTCCTCTTGGAAACATTTGACATTTTGTCAAAATATATCCCTTTGTTGTGAAGATAAATCAGTGCCATTCTTCCTGGTGAAAGCGTATGTATATTTTTAACAGTTATGTTTAATAATGCCCTTTTTTATTGTACTGGCTACTTTTAAAAAACATTTAAAACCCAAGGATTTTCATTATTTTAAATGGAAATTCTAGAGCAGTCTAGAGGCATTAGATAATAAAATTTTCTAAATTACTGCATGTGTTGTGTATTATGTTTCCATATGGATAATTTGACAAATTCAGATAATATTTTGACTATCAGAATTTAAAAAACACACTTGTGAGCTAATGTGAGTACTTTGCTACTTCATCTGCTAATACAGTTAATGTTTTGAAGTGGCACAGATTAAAGATTTACTTGTTACCATCATTTCATTATATTATCATCACTGAAAGCCTACTATAATAATTTTTGTGTTTTAAAAGGGTGGGCCTGATTTTTTTTAATTTGCAGGATTATGAGTTTTCACTATTTTGTCTGTGCATGAAACATTTTTTTTTTAACATTAATCCTGAATTTGCTAAATAGAGATTCTGAGATGAGTTCTCAAAGTAGCACAAATGACTTATCTGGGATGCTGCCATCTACGTTTGTAACCACAGCTATGGCACCAGGCAGAGAACTCCTCATTTTCGTTCTGAATTTGTTCCCCATAACAAACTGTCCGCCTTCACATAGTGACTCTCCTATCTGCCCACACAGAGTGGAGGCCCTCTCCTCTTCTTCCATGGCCTCCTCTTCTCCCTAACATGCTCCTCTTAACTTCTGCACATCTGGAAATCCCAGGAGTTACTGCCTGACAGTGCATGGCTTCAGACAAGCGCCCAGTAATGGACAATAGCAGCAACCAGCAACCACGACCAATTGTATTACTTAGAAATTAAAATTGCTTTTTATTAAATCACTGTATTTTACTGAGATCAATCTCCCACCAGTTCTAAAAATGTCCATGTAGGCAAAGCAGCATTTGTGGTCACCACAATTCTTCACACACTCAAACACCCAGCTTGGAAGACCACAGAAGTTTTGTTAAAGCCTGGCTGTGAGGGGTGACTCCAACGCAGAGATTGCACTGTGAGACCCTGCAGTATGAGGGGAGATCACTGCATTTAATGGCCAGACTCTCTTGCTGAAGTCTTAGGATTTTTCACATGGCTCCCATGGAAATCAGGGGACAACCTTTATTTGTGTGATAGCTGGGCTACCTCCAACACAACCTACAGAACAATGCCAACTAATGTTTTAAAGATACAGTGGGTATCCTGAGTGTTTTTAGTTTCCGAGTAGTTTTCATAACAGAGGTGGCTACACCCTGCTTATCTCATTGCATGTGTTACAAAAGTGAGGATTATGCACGTCCCCACTGTTGTGATAGCTGTATAAGTAAAAAGTTGGGCTCTGTATCATTTCAGTGAGGTTTATTCTACATTTTGTAAACAGTATTAATTCAAACCAATTTCTTAAACCAGAGTACTTTGTAAGTAGGTATATAAAAAAAATCAGGGAGCTGCTAATCAGGGAGTTCCAAGTTATCTCTTGAGCAGCAAATCTCTTGGTTCTCACTGCAGGGTACAGAGCTGGCACACAAGAGAGACATGGAGGGTAAGGGGAAATAAACTACATGGAAGGACAGAAGGAAAGAAAACAGAAGAATGTGACATTTTACTGATCTGCATGGGCAACTTCATCTGCTGCCAGTGACAAAATCCAGGTCCATAAATGGGATTCTGATTGTGACAGCAAGTGGCCTATGAGCCTTCGGAGTAAGTGTTTTATGAGTGGGCAGAGAGCAGTAGCTAAGTTGCTCTTTTGAACTCATGGCCACATTAAGGAATTATTCCCCACCACCCTCAGGAACAGTTGTGTTCATCTGAGAATCCTGGGCACACACAAATGTAACAGATGGCTCCAGTTCAGGTTTTATTTGTATTGTAGTACAATAAGAGTGCAATCTGAATGTACAAACATTGAACAAAAATGTAAAAATATTACTTATGCAATGTTATGGAAGGAAATTAACAAAGCAATGCAACTTACTTCATACTGACCCTGTTTCACCTCATATTATGGCAGGTACCAGTCACCCACATGATCTGGAAGGGGCACAGAGAGTTCTTGAAATCTTAAGGAACTCGAGCCAAAGAACAGCCTAGCAAAATCTGTGGGAAGATGTAAAATTCTCCCAGCTCTGTGCAATGGAAATGCTCTGTTTGTTCTGAGCTCTAAAGGCTGAGCAACTGCCCACCGCAGCACTAAGAAGAAGGATGCCAAAAATCGTGATCCAACTCTTCTCTGTCTTCTTGCAAAAGTAACATTCTGCAACAGTCCTCAGTATACAGGTAGCTAGGCTTTCTTCCATTTAAAGTGCATCTTGTTTATATCTTACATATATATATACCAAGCATAACAACTTTCCCTTACAAATCGTTATAACAATCCTCCAAGAAAGAAGGTTGCCTCACCCAAGTACCTGCTGGTGGCACCTGCAGCCTTGCTGCTGACCTGGTGAAACTCATGCATTTTACAGCTAGGATGTGCCAATGGACCATATGCGATGAAGTATCCTTTCCCTCTGTGCTTTGTCTTTCCCCCTATACTTTATTCATTTATAATTTGGACTTTCGAACTAGGAAGTGGTGGGTGAAATAATTCTCCCACCACTGGGAAAACAAACCTATGCTGAATATGAAGCCAGAGTAGCAGTCCTAGCTGTAGCACACTGTTTTTCTCCACTGTTGTGGTAAGTATACTGGAGACTAGCACGTGCAGACATGAATGCATATATTTTCTTTTTTGCTAATATCCTTACCTCAAAATACATGTATTTTCCTTCATGTGCAGAAGGACTGTAGCAGGCTCCCATGGTTGGGACTCTATTGTGCAGCATAAACAAAAAGTTGTCTATGAAGTCAAACTTTTATTTTTCAGTTGCAGCCTTCTCTATACTGATCTTTTGGTAAAATACATTAAAGATGCTGGTGGAAAAACTCACATAACATTTTTGTCATCGTGCAAAAGTAAAAACATTCAGTTATCAAAAAAGCATTATAATTTCAACCCCAACAAAGTTTGTTTTGTTTTGTTACAAGCAAACAGACAGTTTTATAATCTGTAAAGTTATGTGCTATAGCATAAAGTGTCACATATGTAACATTAAGTGTTTCATTTTTAAACTATGGCACAAATACGTATTAGCCATAACAGTCTCATCTGGCTACCTGTAGCCTAAGTTTTGGCTAATCAGTTTTAATTTTGATAGTATGAAGCAAACGCTTCTGAAAAGTAAAATGGGTACATGAAGTATAATTGAAGAATCCTTAGAAAATATTATGGTTCCCTTATATAATACAGCATAAATAATTAATGACGGTTTCTTGATGTCCAGAGAAAGTCAGAGATCCCAACCATCCATGGAGAATTAGCGCCATTAGTTTGGTACATAAGACTAGCTAACTCGGCTGTTACACAGTACCTTCTCAAAAGCTTGAACACTTCCCAGAAGGATTCAGATGTGTACTGGCTCTAGGAGAATATAAATAGTCCACCAGTGCTGAACATAAGTTTCTTCTTTTCTGAGAGTCCTTACTCAACAAAGCGAGTCTTTGTGCTTTGAATAAAACATGAGCTCCAGGGGAGAAAGTCGGCTTGTACACATTTTCCATTATCTTCAAAGTTCATTGTGTGAGTTCTTCTCTGCAGCTTTGAACATCAGAATGGAATTAAAGATTTTTAGGGCTGGTCCTAGTTTAATGCTCATTATTTTTACTATGTCCGATTGGGTCATTAGCAGAAATGCTTCTCCATCAATTTGCTTTAAAAGAGAAAACACACAGAGCTATTAATAGGTCTGACAGTGCAGCAGTACAGATGTTGCAGAAAACATGAAAAGAAAATTCCCAGCAATTTCAGGCAGTGTAAAGGAAAGCTGAATGAAAACACTTTAAAATGCTTTCAGGATAGCTTTGATTTCAACCTTTTACACAGATCAGCTACTCCAAAAGAACAGGATGATTATTCTCTTTCTGCTTGAAAACAACTGCCTGGCTAATTTTTAGCTAACCAGTTTTTATTTTAGTACTGACAGTATAAGGTAAAAGCTATTGAAAACTGAAATGGGTAAAGGAAGTAGAATGCAACTGCACTGCAGCAAAGTAAAACTTTTTAACATCTTAGCTACTCCTTTTATGCAAGGCTTTGTAAGAAAGCTTCCAGACTTCACTTCCAGCTGAAGAACTGGAAACCTCTTCAGGCCACCCCTTTCTGTTCATTCAATAGTGTGATAGTGTCAAATTAAAATGAATTTGGTCCCAGATGTAAACAGGGGCCAGGCTACGAAAAACTGCCTCTTTGACACAAACACAACTTTTGAAAACACTGAGTATTTTTTCTGCCAGCCTTGTAGTACTGCTGTTTTAATTAATGTTACAGGTGAATATTCTGCTATAAGCCAATTGCCCAAAAATATCACAAAAAAACACACGGCCCTCAGTTCCAAGGGCTTCACTGGGGCCAATACTTCTTGTATAAACTCCAAGTCACTTTGTTATCAAGTTTCCAGTGTAACACAAGCAGGACAGCTAGGCTTAAAAGCCAACTGTGGTTAAATCAGGAGCACTGCTTAGGCTTAGAGATACTAATTTGAGATAAAAATAGTGTAATTAAACTCCTGTAAGACTAGAAGACAAGCTTTCTGAATCACATATGCTGCAAAGGAAGCCTGCAAGGTACATCCCAGCACTGTAAGTCAAGAAACATTGCAGCGAGAACAGCATCACACAGTTACCACAACTACTTTCTACTCATCTTGTGCACAAAGTCAGTCTGGGTGTGCTCAGAACCACAAGCGTGGGAACGTGGGGGTGCCCAACTTTTTACAACATCTTAATATAAGCAGGATGAGGGTTCATTTCCACAGCAGAAGTTTGAAACAGCACCTTCCACCTACCAAAAGACCTACTGATGCCAGCCAGTTCATGCCAGTTGGCCTTACTGGGAGAGGTTTAATTTACTACTCACAGACAAAGCCTGAGAGGCTGAATCCTAAAGAGGAGAAGTATTTTCTTACACCTCTAAGAATGAAAGTGTTTAGGATTCATCCATCTCTGTGGCACTTCCCACCTGCTGACATGATCAGCAATATGCCAGCTTTTATTGATCCTAAAGACATTGGTGAGACACCCTAAGTGACACAGGAGATGATCTAGGCCTGCATACCTGCTGCAACTGTAAAATGCCTAACATCTGAGCAAGTGCAAAATGTCCAGAGATGCAGCCTGTCAGTCCTTTGACATGCAACTGTAATAGTCATTACAATCTACAGCACTGCCTGAAAACTTTTGTTGCAGGAGATTAGCAGGGCCATCTGCATGTATTTTCCTCAGGAGGTGCCTTCTCAAGTCTACATACCACAATTATTCTTCACTTGAAAGGCTGGCTGACTTGGCATATTACAGTATCAGACTCTGCTCATTCAGGTGGTCTGGCTGGGATAAGCACCTAAACTATTCACTTTAGCAATTTGTGATCAAACAGCCTTCTTGAAACCAAGCATTAACAGGAGAAACAAAACTCTGAGAGGAAAAGAATGAGCCTATGTAGCTCATAAAGGCTCAATGTACTTAAAACCCCTATCACTTCCTAATGACAACTCTGACACAACAATCTTCTCAGATACCAGAAATGCATGCCTGGCTTGCTCACAAAGTGAGTACACACTCCTTTGAACTTCAGATGCCTCTCACTTCCCACACACTTAAATCACATTTGTAAACTGTATCAGGAGGAAGAGCATCAAGAACTCACACACTCAAATCACATTTGTAAACTGTCTGTATCAGGAGGAAGAGCATCAAGAACTAAGTGTGATCAGACAAAATGCAAAGAGTTTTAAGAGCTGGTTGTCTTGAACCACTGCTCTGCTTTATTTTACTTATTAATATCCTGCAGAATTAAAATAACATACTTATAAGTAGATTTCCTCAAAACAGATTAAGAGACTAGTAAATCATGAAGTTCCTCCTCTTCTACCATCAGTTCTAAGTAACTTCAGCTGCAGTAACAAAGCCAGAGAAGCACGACAGACCTGGCTGACACTAAGCTAGTTTTATCTTCTGGACTTCCTTCCCACTCACTCCATGACCTGCTAACTAGCCTCATCTTCCATACATTTGCATCTGACTTTAAACATACTCTTCATCCTACTACTTTACATGTATTTTTAATGATGACATAAAATTAATCTTTCCACCAAGCTTTGTACTCTATGTCTTTCTGATATAAAATTCACCCACCTCATCTTTAAACACCTTGCCATGTTCTTCACATCCTGGTAAGCTCCGTATAAATTCAGAGACCTGCCACCAAAGTATACAACAAAAAATTTAGTAAGGCCAGTGTTTTCTCAAAATAGTCTTAAAGGTTGACAATCATTAAAGCTAAGTTTTTTAGCTACTGTTTTTACAGCCTCATATTAGGCGTTCCACCTTTTTCTGCAAGTGCACGGAGTCATGCAACTGGGTGTTTAAGGACAGGATTCACAAAATCTGCCATTTGTCCACTAGATATCTAAGAGTGGGATATCACTGCCCCCTCAAATTACTCAGGTTATTCTATCCATGCAGATCCAGAACCATGAATCTTCTCTTGGTGAATAACTTCTCACAAATTGTTGTTGCCTTCCTCTTTATTCTTTACAGCACAGAGATTAGCAAATCCTTTTTCAAAGTTCATACTCTTCTTTTTTCTCTGATTAGAGGAGACCCCAGCTTCAGAAAACTACCTTAGTCATAGGTACTTCTGAAAGTAAAGCAGGGACTAGGCCCTGTCTGTCCAAGCACTGTTACATACCTGAACAGTGGCAGGGCTCTATTCCTGAAATCAGGTGTTATGGCCTGACCATATCCACACTGCTTCTCTCTGCACTATATTCTCACCCTCCAAAACAGTGAGCGACATCCAAACTATGGACTAGAATAGTTCCTTGGTCCATGCTGACCTCTAACCCATGCCTCCAAAATGTTTATGTGGGTGCTAGATGTTAGTAGTGTAGCACCTGATATGCTGGGCCATACGTTTAGCACTTTTCCTTCCCTTTTTAACCCCAGTGAATATATATTTATGCAAATATATTTATCTACACCTATACCTACCTACACAGATATGAATTAATACTTACTGCTTCTAGGGCTGGATGGCAGCTGAACGAGCATTTTTGGGGATCTGCAACATTAGGTCTGGCTGACTTTAATCCTCTGAATACTAATACATTGTTGTTAATTTACAGGGTTAATTTAAAGCTCTGAATCAATCAAGACTTCAAGGGCAGTGGCACTGAGAGGGAAGATATAGGGGAAACCTACCTCATCTGTACTCCACTTAGAAACTTTACTGGCTGGGATCCCAGCTACGCTTGGAAGGAGCTTGCTCTGCTGTTCCCAGCGCAAGGGTAGACCAGGGATTTGGAGCTTGGAAGACACAATAACTGGTTGAGAAAGAAGCCTCTGTGTGTTGGGTTCTTCAATATCTTTAACAACAGGAAGCAACAACCAAGCATTAAATCCCTCAGTCAGTGATGAGATCAGTCACAGTAACAGCATGTTCATTTCTATTGATATATATAGGCCTTCCTACACAAGCTATAGTTTTCCTTACACCAGAATTAGAACTGTACCATGACTACTCTTCCACTACTACGACTGTGATTAAATTGGCTCTATATAAATGTAACTTCTTACATGGAAAAAAATCTCTTCCAACACAACACAATTCTATGCCAACACAACTGTTGGCATACCACACCACAGGTCAAATAATTTTAAATATTTTGATACAATAAATATCACCCACATTTAATAGTGGTACAGTAGTATAAGAATTAACTTCCTTCTAGGGTTAAGCTGTTACAACTTCATCAAAAGCAGCACTGCACTGCTACAAAATTCCAAATGAATCAGTTGTATAATTCCAGCCCACACAACATTTATGCCTCATCCACAACAAAATGTTTTTCAGTTCTTCTGAGGAAAAAACAAATGTCTGCAAATTCCCTGCTCCTACTTTAACTGAATGTTTTATCTGGAAAATAACATTTAACTCCTCTGTGATGCTATGGGGTTTTTTTGCACGGTAATTTCTCTTCTTACCTCACCTATCGATAATGGAGGGAATAATCTCCCATCCCACTGGCCTCAAAGGAAACGTACTGATGGGAGGGTGGCTTCAGCAACATGCAGCTGTGGCTGCTGCTGTCTGCAGAGTAGCAGCAGTTGCAGACGTGCATTGGAGGAAAAAAATGCTTTGAATGACGTCAAACTGCATCTACGTTCATTTGGACTCATTACAAATGCAAAAGCAACATGCCTGCTATGAAGTCAGCCTGAACGCTTCCCAGGTGCTGAGTAAAGATGTGGAATTCATTTCTGAATGAAACGCCCAACAAAGAACCGATACCTAATATTCCATACTAACATGGCTTCATGCAATCATTCACAAACCCCTGGGCTATTTTTGTTTGGATCGCTCACTTCTATTACAGCTCCATTCTATTTCCATTTTTGGGAAGTTGCTATTATTCACAGTTCTCCTTATCCTTACTATTATATTTTCACACATTTGTGCCCAACAAGTAGGGCACAAATTCCTATTATAGATCTTTGCCAGCACAGTGGGACTGGTCTAGAATACATAATGTGGCCAATAAAGGATGTGATTACATTTGCTTGTCTTGTACTGCTCCTCCAGATTAAATTTTTGTTACTTTCAAGACTTAACCTTATTTTATATCAATGTCCATTATTCAGAAGTTAACTCTTAAGCCATTTAGTCCATATTGTCAGCCCACAAATTTTCACACAGACTCCTTAGTTTTTTCCTAACATCATACTCTTACTCTTGGGAGTTCCTTAAATGTCTGTTTACACTTCACTGTCGTTCTTCAAATGTTCCTTAGAGCTTTTACTACTACTAAAAGTCTCAGTGAGAAAGGAAAGAGTCTTGTAAGGCAACAAGCATGCTGAATATAAAGCCTTTTTACAGAATAGCATCTTTCTCACTGTTCCCTTGAATCCCCTATCCATCCTCATCCTGATTTTTTCTTTATAAAAAAGGTCTCTTAAGAGGAGTTGAAAAGACAAGTATTTAGCTAAATTTTTTGTTTTCCATTCACAATACATGTAATACATTGATACTGTAACATAAATAGCAGATTACAATACTGTGTGAAGAAAATTCCAAGCAAATTGCACTCTATTTTCACACGTTTAAACATATGTTTACGTAAGAGCATATAGGCATATGGATAGTGAGTAGCAGCAGTGACAGATAAGGTTACTTATCTATCCCATATGTCTCTATTTTTAATAGTTTACACCTGTGTCAAATTCTAAGTTAAAGATGAAAAATCTACACTGGGCCTCTGTTCATGCTGTGGTTTTGTGTAAAACTTCAAGCAAACACGTCAGTTATATATCACACAATCATAGAATCATTAAGGTTGGAAAAGACCTCAAGGATCATCAAGTCCAACCGTCAACCCACACCACCTAACTCACTAAACCATGTCCCTAAGCACCACATCTACACGCTTCTTGAACACCTCCAGGGATGGTGACTCCACCACTTCCCTGGGCAGCCGCCAGCCTGTTCCAATGCCTGATCACTCTTTCAGTGAAGAAATTTTTTCTAATATCTAGCCTAAACCTCCCCTGGTGCAACTTGAGCCCGTTTAATCTTGTCCTATCACTTGTTACTTTAGAGAAGAGGCCAGCACCCACATCACTACAACCTCCTTTCAGGTGGTTGTAGAGAGTGTTAAGGCCGCTCCCTCAGCCGCTCCTCGTAAGACC